TTGCAGCAAAGTCTGTCGCATGAACATTCCAAAAGAATGAATCAGCACAGAGCTTCCAAGTGTAGTTTCCCTGAAGTGTAATTTAATTCTAACCAAATAAAAGATGTCTTCACTAACATGCTGGAGTACAGAGTGCAACTATAGTTCTGTGTTTTTTTTTTTTTTCCCCTGGGTTTTGTCACGATACATTCCTGTTCCCGGCAATGAAAATTACATTATTTTGCCCATTTCTAGCCCCACCGATCCCTGACATATCATCTTACTTGTATTTAAGACATTCTAATCACCAGCGAAGAGTTTCCAAACCCAAAGGCCAAAAAGACGCACCAAAGCTTCCTTCTCTCTTCTACTCCCTTCTCTTCTCCTTCCTCCACCCCACTGAAGGCTTTGACTCTCAATAACAAGAGTGTCTGAAAAGTGAATGGAAAAAAAGCAAGAGGCTTTAAATTATTTGCTCTTTTCCACTGGTTGTGCTACCTTTGCAGAGGCAAAGGCCACTTTCCTTTTTCTCTCTCTTTTTTTTTTTTTAAGGCACTAAAATCATACCTATCAAGTAACGAAGCAGTAGCAGCCAGAGTCCTATAAGTCTATGGGACTGGTGGGGGTAGAGACTGCCAAAGATTATATTCAGTCATGTTCAGTCAAATAGAATTTTCATCATCACTTTATGTCACTTTACCTAAAAGAAATACCCGGTTCAATAAAGCACTCGAGAGAAATAATTTTCTAAACACACGGGGCGATGCAGCGGCACGCCGTCAGAGCCCTGGACTCCCACGTTACCGTGTCTGCAAGCCCTACCTCTGCAGACATGAAAATCAATGTAACAATTCCATGTACAAGGCGAGGCCTATGGCGCTGCTAATGTCCCCTTGCTGGACATACACCTTAAGTCTCAGAGCTCTCAGGAGGTTTGCTGTGGAATAAAATTAGATTCCAACATCTGCCACCATTAAGGAAAAAATTCCATTTCCATCTCCCATATGAAAACAGTAGAACCAATGAACAGTAACTGAACCTTGATACCGTAATGGTTATTACCCAAATCAACTATTTTTTTTAAACAGTAAAATTAGCAAATTCTGCTCTCATAATTATTTGAATGTTATCAGACTAAATGTTTGATAAAATTCCAATATGATTCACTTGGAAAAACTGCTGGTTATTTGAATACCCAGAATATAAAGTGTATTCATTTGCAGCTACTCATATTATGTTTAAAGCATATCATCCTTTTAAAGTTTGCATTAGCCTGCTCTCCTACCCAAGCACAAAAAGTAGCCTACCTTCGGTCTTTACTTGCATATCTTATTCAGACATTTCTATTAGAGTTAAAAACAATCTCATTTCTATTACTCATCAAAGAGAAGACAGAATCCATGTAAAATGGTGGAATCCACAGAGTTGGTTTCTTTTAGTGAAAATACTTGGTGCATTAGTCAGTACATAGCATGACTATGATGTGTCTGGTTTCATAACATTCTGGGACTGTTTGAAATTTTTAAAAATGATTATGCTGCCTGCCACTCAGGATACCTACACCTCAAGCTTTACTTTTTAGTCTAAAATGGAAAGTATTTGAGATAAATACATAGATAATAGAGAAGTCACTCTGTGGAGAAGTCTGAGCCTCTTGCTGAGCACATCATAAGACGTTATCCATTTGTGTAGAGTGCTGTATGATTTAAAAGCTCTTCTGCATCTATTATAGCATATGATCTTCTCCCATGGTAAAAGAATCTTGGGCTCAAAAAGGTTAAATAATTTCTCAATATTCTAACACCTATTCGGAGTCCTACTTGGAGTCCTCTACCATGTATCTCCTCTCAGCCCAAGTGGAAATGAAAAAGTCTGGATTCCTAGGACCCTATGCTGATAAGAACCTGTATTCCATGAAAATGTCAATGAAGAAAGGAAAGCTCCTGCCATGTCCTCGATCAGTTAGTCCAATACCCCTAATTCCTCTCTCCCAGAGCAGGGTATCACTTCAGTCCTGAAGCTCCTAGAACCCTGAGGAAATACTAAAAGAGGAAGAGAACCAAGAAATTGGGGTTGGCTCTACTACTTATCAGTCTGGTGACTCTCATGTATAAAATGAAGAAAACAGGGCTAGCTCCAAAGGTTACTCTGAGAATTAAATGTAGGTCATACATAGCAAACAGTGGGGACTAGCACAAAGATGGCACTGGACAGTTAGCGAACTCAGAGGACCGGAAGCAAATGGAGTGAGACAGGCTGAGGTAAAAGTGACTCCAGCTCTCCCCTCTTCATACACGCTTCATTTTCAGGGACTTCTGCCTCACTCTGACAAGCTGTGGCACATACATCTCAGAAGTAAATAACTCTTCTGGAAGTTAAAAATTTTGACCATAAAAGGGTCAGATTTGAGTATTTTGTTTATTAGTTCTTCTGTTTCCTTCACAAAAATCATGGCAGAACAGAAGTTAAATAGTGACTATTTTCCCTCGTTAAGTCTGACTTCTTCTCTCAGTGACATATATACTTTTTGGACCACTTATTTTTAAGTAATCATCAATCCTTCTACATATTTTCCTACCGAGGGTAGTGTTGACACCTAAACTGAACGACAAAGGGAAAAGCACAAAAACCCTCTATCAGGGAGTTAGAGGATATTAGTAGTTAGAAATAACTACCCGAAAGAATGAAAGTTACCAGTATGCTTGACCCCACCGCCAACCACCTGCTCCTTGGATTCTCTCTTAATCAGTAATGAGGGGATTAGCTAACAGCTTTAGGGGTTCTGGGAAACACACCATCCTGGCAGAGACCTAGAAGCTGCCAGTAGACACTGCTGAAACATACTCAGGGAAAGCTATGGAGGACAGGGGTACAAACGGCAATCATGTTTAAAAAATTCACCAGAACATCACTCATGTGACATTACCCGCCAATTGTTGCCACTATCTAAACAGCTCCCAAATCAGTAACTCGGGCCAGGTGGGCAGATTTGGGGATATCATTTAAAAGAAAGAAAGAATGAAGGTAGCAAAGGGGATGCTAACTGAAAGGAGCTATGCTATAGTCAGAAAGGAAATGGGGAGGCAGAAAATGTCACAGAATTAAGTGACAGAGGACAAGCAATTAAATGACAGTCACCAGAAAGTTTTCATATTTATTTTTGTTCATTTTACGTCTGACCCTTATTATTGTAATAATGCACGTCTAGTTTTTTGTTCATTTTAAGTCTGACCCTTATTATTGTAATAATAGATGTCTAGTTTCTCCATTTATCTATTTTCAGGATTTGGAGAAAGTGTTTGGCTCCGTAATAATACAGTCTGTTATTCTTGATAAATGTAATTGGACAGGTCAGAAAAGACGCGGGATCAGAAAGAAAGGCAAGATAATATACGTTTGACGACGAGATCCTCATCATAATTAGACTAAAGAGTCAAAACAAGAATGTGCACGGTGGGTGAGGGGCAAAGTGAGAGCAGGACATTTCTCTTTAATGCATAGTCTTGGCATGTAAATGAAGACATCTGAAGAAGCACACAGGTTTGAAGCGGCTCTAACATTCTATCATAATTAGAAACATTTCAAGAGCCCTGTAATTTCCAATCAAAATTACAGTAATTTCCGATATACAAGCCATGATTCATGACAGAATTTTACATTCCATGAGAGATTACGGTGGCCTGATGTATGACACGCTGAGTACAGCACTAACATAAACAATCCAGTTTAATGTTTAAACAGCACTTGATGTTTAGAATCTCACAATAAAAGAAACATATTATTGTAGAAATTATCACTTTGACAGTGATTGAAGGGTAGGCAGGCATGTGGCCTATAAAGCTATAATTTTTACAGTCCACAGCTTGAGTTTAATCATTTTTATATAACATTTCCAAGATATCCCTTAAGTATTTCATCTAGCATATAACTTAAATAAGAACAACCTTTTCTAAAGCAAAATCCCTATCAAGGACCACTACTAACACTGATAAAGAAAAATTTTAGGAAGAGCTAAAAAAAAAATAAAGTATGGTATAGTAAATTCTGCATATTGTAAATACTCTCAGAATTGTCTATTTTTATCAGAAGATGACGGCAGCCAGGCTATTTTATAAAGGAAAGTTCATTAATGATCATTAATGATCGGGAAAATATATTTGTTTAAAATCACAAGTTGTTAAAATCTCACCTTTAAATCCCCACCTTAATAATGTTACCAAATATTGTTGTAAAGGGGAAGACAGTTTAGTACTCTTCCAGTCCTTTAAAAAGTATTCTTCGCTTTGAATGAGGGTTTATGAGCAATTATAAGTTTGCTCCTATAGATGACTCTGCTTTTGATGAGCATAAATTTTCAACATATGAAAATTATACTGATAAAGGACTGCCTTATCTCTCCTTTGTTATGTTCTCATCTTGTTGGTAGGGACTTGCAACTTTTCTAATTCAATTCTATTCATTTATAATTCATCAGATTTGGACAGGTTTTCTAGTTGTAATTCAGTTTGTATGGCTTATATATGGTGTATCTATGAAAAAAGTTACGGTCATTAATGGGCAAAGATACGTGTGGTGGACGTGCTCGTTTGTGTACCTAATAGTTGTGGATGCCTGAGTTGGAACAGAAGAAACTATTATGTTTGTAGTCTTTTAGGATGGAAATCAAGGTCATCTAAGCAATAATGAAACAATAGCGATTCAAGTTACTTGTCCCAATACAATAGACCACATTGAGAAACTGCCTCTACGTTATGATACTCTTCTGAAAACAACTATTAACTGACCCCGAGATTTCCTGAGAAATCCCTGGTCTGGAGAATGGGTGTTGGAGGAAACAACAAAACCACGTATCTACTGCCTGAATCTGAACAACACTTTGTTTCATCACAAAGCTCTGTCGAGAATCCTGGAGACCGTTCCTCTCAGTGATGCAGGTTCATACTGAAAACAGACCCCCCTCTGAATGAAACTTGCACTGGCATCACAGATCAACATTCTCAGTGCCTAACCGAGGTTCTTACCTGGCTTTTGGTTGCGGCAACCTTTGCAAAGAGTGCTTGGGACACTTTGGCGCGCTTCATTTCCTGCTGAATCTCATCATAAATGGAAGCATTAATGTTCATGGTATTGTTCTCTTGTTTCCCATTCCTCTCAGTGGCAATAGTAGCTGTTTTCACCTACAAAACATTTTGAACATGACTGTCATTTTTCATTGGCCAAATTGTTTTGAAGCTTTTCAGGCTCGGCATCCAAACTGGACACTGTTGCTCCTTTTATGATCAAGGTGATCAACAGTGCAGTCATTCAACATTAGTTATTACCCCGAGATCAGATTGCTTAAGTTAAGAAAGTCACATTGTCACAGGTGATTGCGTCCATAATAAGACAGCCACTGCCAGCTGACAAATAGGAATTAGAATGCCATAAAGTAAGTTTTCTGGAAAACAGAATAGTTTCAAAGACTTGAAAACCCTAAACTAATTGTTTCCCAATTACTGTCCATTGCAATTCTAACAAAGGAAATTCACAATTAAAATCATAATGCCCAGTGCTGTATCTTCACTGGGTGCCTGGTGCCTAATAGACAATTGCATCACTAATAGCTATTACATCCTATGGCCTTTTTAATTTTAGACTCCTTTTTTTATGCCTGTTCCTCTTATGTTTCATTTAAAAAATCTTCCATAACAAAGCCATTTGCAGAGCTGCATATTTAAATCTTCTATCCATCCATGAAACAGGTAGAGCGCCTTGCTTAATTATCATAAAGGCTGGTTGCATTTTACACGTGCATGTCCAAGCTGTTCTGTATAATTATTTCATTTTTTCCTGGCACCCCTGTACATAACTATTTCCTTTTGACTCGTGGAACCAGACAGTAAGAAAATGTTTCACAATATTTAACAGAATATTATTTCAAGTTACATAAATTATATAATCAGTGACTTTATAAATACATTCAAATGAATAATCTTGAGTAAAAAATTAGTACCAATGCCTTTGGTAATAATGATAAGCAGGTGTCAGCAGTAAAAATTTGGGAGTAAAAATAAAATCTCAACCTCAAAATTTATTCTTACTATTATTAATTTCTAAAACTCCAAATTTAATTTTTATTAAGCAGTTATGTGAACCAGTCTAGAAAATTTACGTATGAACTATGCAGTTGCTTTTTCACTAGGAAATTGGTGACAATGTCAATGAAAAGTTACCCACAGATGCAGGACCCTGTTTCTCCCAGCCAGATAATTCACTGTGGACCACATCTCTTAGGATCCTTTCCAGAATCTGGGTTTCTGTTGCATCCTGGACAATTTCTCACTTACACAATAAGCGATCACAAATGAAGTCCATTTTGGAATAAATGAATGATTTCTTTTGTCACGAAATGATACACCCCTTTAGTCCCGCTCTAAGTCTTTTGGGCCTACTTCATTTTCCCCTTAATATTTGGTATCAAAAGACGGGCAGAGGTTATCCTAAACAATTTGATCCTCTGCACTTAAGACACTAAATAGGAGTCTTAAAACATGCCTTGGGGCGCCTGGGTGGCTCAGTGGATTAAAGCCTCAGCCTTTGTCTCAGGTCATGATCCCAGGGTCCTGGGATCAAGCCATGTATCCAGCTCTCTGCTCATCAGGAAGCCTGCTTCCTCCTCCTCTCTCTCTCTCTGCCTGCCTCTCTGCCTACTTGTGATCTCGGTCTGTCAAAATAAATAAATAAAGTCTTAAAAAAAAAATGCCTTCTAACTTCTACCCAATTAGCAAAATAACTCACCTCTTGCTTATCTGGGAGGCAGCTCATCTTTCCCCCTCAATCCTACCCTTCTAAGCACTGAAACGATGATACTGTGAAATGGGTGCACCACAGGCCCAAGTGAGGAAACAGAGAGTAAGACAGGACAAGCGACCCACTGGTTGGCCCCCAGTTGCCACTGCTAAACTCTAAGCAGGAGACAGGGATGGCAAGTGTGTAGGGTCAATTTCCAGAGCCCCCCTTCTAGCTCTGTGACCCCAGAAAGCAAGGGCACTTACAGAGGTATATTAAGGACTGGAGGCCACTAAGAACATTCACAGGGCTCTGAAGCAACAATCTGCTAAATAACACCTGGGGAGCCAGAAGAGTTAATGCATTACCATAAACTGCCTACAAAGTTGCTTTGGTGAGATTGGCAACTTTGCTCTGGGGTGGTCTTGCTTTGAGGCAAAAGGATAGATTTGATCACCCCAGGGGGTCTCTCTTAATACCTATTTTTCTCACTGTTTAAATGAAAGAGAAAAGAAAAGCCATTTCAATCGCTTTGAAAATTGAATGTTATGGAAATGGGAGCATGAAGTCCGGGGCATCGGAAAAAAAACAGTTCCTTGGTAGCAGTCTGCTTAGCAATCTTTAAGAGAGTGGACTTTGGAAACTTGTTGTTTTGGTATGTTTTTAAAATAATTTTCATTCTTTTGTAAAAACTATGTTTAAGAATTTACCTTTGAGGTGGGCTATAATCATTTGTTTCAACCCTGTGATTTGGTTTCTAAAAATTTCGTTAATTTTTTTTAATAAAGCAATTACAACTTAAACCAAAAAGCAAGAATTTTAAATCATTAAAAAAAAAAACACAACTGTTTCCTAGGAGCCAATACAATCAAAAGTAGAAAAGACGTCCACATGAAACTTCTAAAAATTAAAAAAAGTGTAACAATTTTTTAAAATATAAAGTAAGAAACTCTGTATTACTCATTTTAAAAATATTTAGAAAGCTCTTTATCATCTTGTTGGCTCAGATATGTATCTTATCATAGATAAGCTATTAGAATTCTGGAATCACATTTTTTCCTAAACACAAGCTATTGCTTAAGGGGAACTGACTTGGACAGCTTTTCAAAAATATGAAAGCTGAATTTTTCCCCAGGTAAAAATGGAAACAAAAATCTTTTATACCTCACTCTACTAAGTACTATTTTAGCTTAGTACAAAAAAAATCTTCTTTAATCCTGGTTTAGCTTTTAATATTATATCACACATTAAAATTCATAAAGTAGTTCATTCCAGGCAAAACAAACTACTCTTCAGCTCTTCTCCGCAAATAGCACAGGAGGTAAAATAAATGCAGTTGCTTTCCGCATAGCTTTTATCAAGGTAGGGCGTACTACTCCATCATTACGGCGGCGCCGGGGAAGTAGTTAGGAATTGGAGCTTCTACTATTTACCCTTTGCCCTCCCACGTGAGGAGAGGGTGCAAGCACTAGGGTCGGCTGGCTTTATATATCTCTAAAATTGTATGGTAGAACACAGATTTTCCCTGAGAATCTTATTCTGTTTCTTTCTGGATTGCTGAATGCATCAAATCATACTAAAAAATGAACTCTAAATACTATACCCATGCTACATACTACATATGGACTACACAAAACGAACTCTACTGTGGTCCTGGCTGGTGAGCATACTATTCCTTGATGGAGGAAGAACTGCCAACAAGTCCACAGCTCATGTGTGCATACACACATGCAATTAAAGTGTGATGTAGTTTTAATAATAATTATGATAACAACAAAGGCTGGCATTTATTACCTTTTTATCACGTGCTGGGCATCATGTTCAGATACGTTAGCTCTAATCTGCATGAAAGCCTGGAGTAAGTACTATTACTGCCCCATTTTAAAATTTGAGAAAACTCTCCAAAAACAAAGAATTTATTCATAAGGCAATGTGAGATCTACATTGAAGTCTGTCTAATGCTAATGCTTATCTTAGAAACTAATGCTCTTTACTGAAGTTATGATGTTACACAGGATTTCTTTATTTGGAAAAATTCTAACTTTTTAAAGACATGCTGGATCTGCTTTTTGGTGGCCCTTTGCTAAATCTGGCTCGTTAATATCTAATTTTTAGCAAGTGGCTTTGTCACTCGTTTTAGAAATCCAACCTGAATTTATTTGGCAAGGTATGCAAACTATAAATGTTTTCTTGGTAATGTGATATAAGAAATGTGCTACTTAAAGGTATTCTTACTGGTGAAAGAAAATGGTCCCCATTTTCAAATTTTTGTACATTAAAACTGTTTGAATATCATGGTTCTATCTTTTTATACTTTTCTTTCTGTTCTTTTTAGGAACAATATTAATTATTTTCCAAATATGGACCTTAAAAAGTCCTCTAGTATTTTAAAAGATGACTGATGATGGGAATCATTTCATGAGCACATAAGATCTTAAAATCATGCTGGCCCAGTGATTCAAAACAAAACTTTTATCAAGTGTTAAGTTCCTGCCCATAACTGAACCTGTTTCATTACATTGTAGAAAACTTTGTTGGAAAGAGGTAGAAGGGTGCGCAGCTACGAGATGAATTATACATTGCTTATATGAACTTATTACATTTTCTAAAGGGCTGTTATAAAATAACCCATCTTCCTTTTGAAGAAACTAAAGAATTACATAAAGAGATACAAAAATATAAAGAAAAAAGCATTATGTAATTCATGTAGAATTTATAACTTGATAATTATAGGCTTTCAAACAGTCCTTATGGAAACGGAAAGTGCTAACCTAACTCCAAAAGTCGCACATATTAAAACACACAAATAAAATCAGAGTAAGAGCGCAACTAAATAGAAATCATCAACTTAAAACTGATCTGTGGAAAAAACAAGTTCCAGAAAGTAACCACTAATTATTATTAATCAAACTCCTCCTATAAACTCATTTGTAAAATTTGCTAAGCATAATAAGAAAAGAAGCCTTTAGAATCAGGGAGGTTTGGAGGGCTTGGGTTCCCCCAACATTTTCATATGAAGCAAAGTTTGGAAAGGGCTGTTTTCTCCACCATTTCAGAAATGCCCAACTGTCTGAAATCTTCGAGTGGATCATTTGTCAAACATTTAACGTATTCTATCAGAAGAAGGTTCTCATGTGTGTTCCTCTTCCTAATCTAAAAATAAAACTTCCCACCCTCTGTGACAAATAGAAGAAGTCCCCAAGTTTCATTTTCCCCTTTCTAAAGTGCTTGTGTTTCAAGGAGGTGGCTTGAGGTAGGAGAAAGAGCAAGAGACTTAATAGGCAGATGTGAAAACAAACTCACCCTTAAACTTGGTTTTCTTCTCTTTCTCCAACCATAAAGTTGGTATGAGGATTCAACATATTCATGGGCATGAAGTTGTCAGAGAACTGTGAACCATTATCAAGTATAAGATATTCTTATTTCCTGAATTAGAATATGTACATTATGAAAATAGGCTTTCAGCAAACATGTCGGACCTGGGGCCTACTGCTGTAGACAGAGGACAAAACCCATGGCATGGCTGCCCCTCTTGAAGCACATGGGACAGGTCTGCACCAGAGGTATCACTCCTAGGCAAGGGCTATAGTGACTTCTGATGTTTAGTCTAGATCTTCCCAGGGGAAAGATTCCTTGGAATAAAATATACAGCCTTACTAAAAGGGAAGTTTCTTCTTAAAGATCATTTAGAATCCAAGTTCCTCAACAGTGTAGGTCTTCGGTCTGGTATGACTTAGGGAGGACATCTCAGTCATCTTTGGTATAACCTCAACTCTACAGGGTAGGAGTTGGAAGAGAATCCAGCTCTCTTGGTCTTCAAAGTGGTCTGGATCTCCTGTGAGCCAAAAGGGACCTCTGCCTTTGAAAACAGTTTTCTTTAAGGGCAAATGGGTGGCTCAGTCAGTTAAGCATCTGACTCTTGATCTCAGCTCAGGTCTTGATCTCAGGGTCATGAGTTCAAGCCCCATGTTGGGGTGTGGAGTCTACTTAAAAATAAATAAATAAATAAAAATAATAAAAAGCTGTCCTTTATAAAGAAATCAGAGTTCACGTCCAACAAGTTAAAGACTTGTCTCAAAATATGTTTCAGATCTCTTCATTTAAGGGGAAATGACATGCAATAATGAACTCCTCTTTGTCAAAATATAAAATTAAAAAAGACAAAATTCTGCCATCTGTTTCTGTATTTGTGGTTTTGTCCTTTTTCCCCCTTCCATTTTGATCATGTGTCATATGCATATTAAAACCTTAAGTATAGTGTATTAGTTCCCCTTTAAAAGCATTCAATTTCAACAGTTGCAAAACATTACTAATTTGGCTGCCAGAGAAACATTTGTTCCCATCTTAAGTACTCATTTTACATCGATAATACTTTTAATGCATTAAAGATTTCTTAAAATGTCATTCATAAAGTCACTGTTGGAGGGTAAAAGGTGAACAAACTGGTTGTGAGCTCTATTACAATCATATTAAGTAACGCAAAGGGATTCTCAGTAAGGCAAATTAAGATACTTGAAGATGCGTATTATAGCAGTGAAATAAAATTATACACACATCAGATAATCATTTTGGAATTTGGTTAGATGGCCAGTAATACCGCATTTCAGAAACTTTTCTCCTTTGAAAGAGTTTCACTAAGAATCTGTGGTATCTCCATACCTTACATGTTCATCATTGGCTAGATATTCCAGCTAAGGGCTTGCTTCTCAAGCCCTCTTGAGAACAAATATAGCAAAGAGTGGCTCAACCAGTTAATCAATAATGCAGGCCAAAATAAATTATATTTTCTACCCCAACTTATCAGCAGTCTTTAGACACATAAGTAAGAGAGCTGCCCAAGAGTATCTTAATAGTATGTGAAAAGAAATACCATTTAAAAATTACTGGAAACGTGGCTAAAGAAAAAACTTGATGAGTAAGGACAGCAGAATAACATTTGGAAAAACAAAAGCACCATGATCATATAAAAAATTAGGAAACAAAAACCGTGTTAAGGAACTACAAAGTCAAATATTTAGATAGATTAAAAAAAAAAAGAAGGAACAGCTCAATGCTGAAGTTCATACTGATCTTAAGTAAGCAATTCTTTTGTTAGTATAGCAGATTAAGTGATAAGTAAAGTAACTCTTTGCCCAGAGGCCTTCTGTAGAAGCAAAGTTAACTAATGACGGTGTATTAACTCTAAACACCACATACGAAGTGGTAAACCAAGTCCAAAGTACAGTATTTTTTGTTTAATCACTCTTAAAAAGTCATATACATACATATATAGTCATACATACATATATAGTCATACATAGATATAAATTCATATATATATAAAAAGTCATATATATATGTATATTCTCATTCTTTTTCTTAAGAAATACTTTATGGAAGGCTTTACAGATCAAATTCAGTCATTGTATGTGTAGACCAGTGGATACGTATACATGCAGATAGATACCATTATTCTGTGCTAGAGACATATGACTTTCTTATCCACAATTACAGCAATGACTTTCTTGCAGTCTATGCCCTAGACATTAAGACCAAATTGATTTTCATTACATAAAATGGAGAAAACGGACTTCGGACATTTCTACAAAAGATTCATTTCATAACATTACAACATAGAGCTTTAAGAACCTCAACAAGTGACCAAATATTATGTCTATTCCTTATTGATGAAGTTATCTGAGGCAGTTTCATTTTTAGCGCTGTGTGTTTTTTCTATATTTCCATACATAGAAAGGCATTTTGTTTTGTTTTCTTTTAACTGCTGATGAAAAGAAATTAACAAGTTACGATTTCAGGATAACATTATATTACAAGAATACTTTGAATTTGTGTTCCATATTCAATTTTTATCACGTTTTAGCTGACCTTATTTTTAAGGGCTGTACATGCAATAAATTAAATGTGTAAGAAATATATTTGCCTATTGATTTGAAGTCTAAACCACTTTTGTGTAGTAGCTTATACTGCAAATCAACTTGTTGAATCCTCATAACAATTACAGGCTATCTTTAAAATTTGATTTAAAAAATAAAAATATAGATACACGTACACAAAGTTACCTGCATGATGAGTTCTGTCCTTTCTAAAAAGTGCGAAAATTTGGGAAATAGAAAATGTGCCCATTTCTGGGAATACGGGTGGAATTCCGTATCAGCCCCATTTAAAGCTGCCTTCAAGGATTGTATTAAACTTAATTATGAAAGATTACAGACGAGATGATGTGTAATTGGTACCAGCTGCACTTCGTATTGGAAAGCATAAATACAAATGGAATTATTTATTTATTTTTATTTGTTTACTATTCAAATGGCAGTTCCCAAACTCAAAGGGATAAAACTGACTTTATTACTTTTCTTCCTATTGAGTTTAAAATATTTCTTCACTTAATAATAGTAGTAGAGACAAACATCCCATTTAAAGACTACTTTCACCCCCAAAGAACCCCCAAAAGGAAGCAACACAAAGCAATTTTCTTTCCTCTAATTAGTAGCTTACTGTTTTTATATCAGAATCACTGATTTGGGACCAAATTCTCCTCAAGTCACTCTATGAATTATTATTTTTAGAAAAAGTGGTATCTATTCATCTCTTTTTCCAATTTCTTACTGAGATCCTTCCTCAAACATTAAGAAAGAAGAAGAAGAAGAGGAGGAAGAAGAAGGCCAAAGAGGACAGGAGACTTCACCTGGGGAGGGCGGCTGGGCGGTGTGCTTATCAGGGGGGCAGGACCCATAGCCGAGGCAGCATTCAAGCTCCTTTCCCTTTCATCCTGGTAAATCCGATCTCTTTCAGCTTCTGGTAACTGCAAGAAATTCTGCATAGCCCGAAGGTTTACCAGCAAAGACTGGGATGCAGTCTTGGGGTCCTCTTCCTTTCGGAGGATTTCTGAAAGCAAGCCCTGCAGGGAATGAAAGGTACAGAGTGAGCTAGCTCCTGAGCTCTGCCCAGCCAGCAGTGATCCTTCCCTCTCCTCCGCTCTCTTTAGAAAATGAACAGTCAAAAGCATTAATTCTGCATAGAAATATGTTAGTTACAACTGAAGTGGTAGAGAGGAGAGCCTCAATTGTATTCTTAATTTTATTAAGCATCTGCTTTACATATAACACAAACTGAAACTGCCTAATTGGTCTCCTTCCTTTGAGTAGCTTAACTTGCCATGAAATCTTTCACAGAGAGACGATCGAGGGAAGTTAAGAATAAATGAAATGCTCATAATACAACAGCATTGAACTGTATAGTTCTCAAGCTGCCCAGACAAAGGAAGTGGAATGCAGAGAGCCCAAAATGTAAAGATACAAAGCCACTTCTAGGGAAGGAGAACTTTCAAAGAAAATACCAGAAAATGAATTGTAACATATTACAAAAAGAATATTTCTAAAGCATGCTATGTTTTCATAGGCAATATTTTAAGTTATCCTTTAATTTTCAAATTAATGACAAGTGATTCCTTCTATTTAACGTTTAAGGAAACTGTACAGACTACCATGAATAATATCATGCTATAACTATACCTCTGGGTAACAGGTTGAAATTTGAACTTCAGAAATCATTGATTAAATTTAAAATACATAACCCCATTTTTACAGTGCAAAAATCCATAATGGCATGCCCAGGAAAAGTGGGGCACCTGGGTGGCTCAGTGGGTTAAAGCCTCTGTCTTCGGCTCAGGTCATGATCTCAGGATCCTAGGATCGAGCCCCGCATCAGGCTCTCTGCTCAGCGGGGAGCCTGCTTCCCTTCCTCTCTCTCTGCCTGCCTCTCTGCCTACTTGTGATCCCTGTCAAGTAAATAAAATCTTAAAAAAAAAAAAAAGAATACTATCAAATTCTCCAGTTGCCAATTTTTTTAAGGAATAGAAGTCTTTATTAGTTATAAAAGAAATTTACAAACCACTAGTAAGCTCCTTTAAGGTGTTTCTCTCTCCCCAAATACTAGAGCATTAATTGTCAACTATTTTTTTCTTTTTTAATTTTTAGAAGAAGCCTTTCAAAAATAAATGGGTTTCCTCATTTTTATTTAAGGAATTATATGAAATAAAGGATTACAAAAATTTTCTGCCCATTTGATAGGAGCTGAGCACCCTTTACCTCTTTCATTTTGTGCATGAAATAATGCCTGGAATACTAAGTCATATTCGCTTTCTACATTTAGCCAGAATATCAGTTTATCACAAGATAACTCCAAATAAAATGCTGTCAAGATCTCCACGTCATTTGTAAATTTCACTTACCAATAACCCTGCAGAAATGGTGAAAGGGAACATTTGGGGAAGGGGAAACAAAGTGTCATATCAAAATGATTGAGACTTAGACGATAACAACATTTGGAATTTTTCATGATTCCCTGGAAATGCAAACCTAGTTTTGTTCCTAATTCCTCAGGGATAAGGTACTATATTGCCTACATATAACACCTAGTCGCAGACAATATAAAAGCACTGTCCACTTTAAAAATGACTCAAAAGAACCTCCAATAGGCTGAGGGGGCTTACAAGTAAATGTTAGTCTCTCACTTGGTCCTGCATCTGAAACCTGGAGAGTGGACCTGAACTTTCAGTTTCCCCATTAAAAAATGTGACTGAAGAATGAAGGGTGCATGTTCTTTCATTCATAAGACTGACAAGTAATGCTGCAACTGTGTTTATACAAGAATAAAACATCCAGTCAATTTAACTAAAATTCAGTCAAACAGGCAGTCAATCATCCAGCTATTTAATTTGCACAAGGCCAACTAATTAGATTGACTGTGTTTCTGATGTGTCACATTGAAACTGAAAAATACAGGTCTCAAAAAAAAACGCCTGAAAAGAGGTGTAAAAAAATAGTCCTTGCTCTCTATTTTTCCCCACCAAATGTCATATATTAGAAGATGTGCTTGGCAAAGCAATATATATGAGCTACAAAGAAATCAACAGACAAAATGTACAATATAGTTAAAAACAATGTTATCAATTCCTTGAGTAGAATAACCTAATACTCATTTCTGTCATCCCAGCACAATGCCTTCCACATAAGTGTTTGATAAATATTTACTACGTGGATTAATGATGTGTATTCAGATCACAAAAGGAAAAAATTGTAAATGACTAATAGAAACTTAAGAACTAAGATATGCTACTCATGGGTAAATTCTAATGGAAATTCTTAATTTAATCAAGGTAAGGTTTCAATGAAAAGTTATATGGCACTTTGTAAGACATTTATCTACCTTAGCTGTTCAGAAATTAAAAAAAAAACAGATTAGGTCAAAAGAGATCCTATAAATACTCAGCATGTTACTGTATTTGGGAAATTTGAAATTAGACATTTATAAATCTCAAATAACAAAATACTCTATCATCTCTATTAAAAATGTTTTCTGAGACAGCAGAGAACTACAGTGAGAAAAGCAAACATGTGAAAAAATACATAAAATATTCTCTATCAAGTCGTGTTAATATGAAACTTAGTCATTCCTGCATGCTTAAATTAGAAGATAGTACGTCACTTAGGAGAAAATTTAAAATTTCCTCTACCCATATTTTGATGTTGGTATGACTATCCAGTAGAGCATTTAAAGTATTTTAGGGGCAAAGCGTTTATTTCCACTTAATTATTCTACTGCAGCAAGTACAGTTTTTCTGCCTGCAGTATGTTAAGGTCTAAAGAGATATTTCAAATCCTGGAACACTCAAAGAACTCTAAAGCAGCCAGTGTAGACAGTGTCAGGTGTTTTAGAAACCTTCGGATTTTTTTTTTTTTTTTTTTTTTTTGGCCCAGGCTTTCAATGAGGGGAGTGCCCCCTGGTGGAAATGCTTGAAAATATTAGAAAATGTTTTGGTTAGAATGTGTTAATTATCCCCCTCCCCCAGAATGCATGTTCTCATCCTGTTCGAGTTGTTGTTATTTGAGTAGGTACATTTATGCATCAAGATGTACATGGTCCCTCTTTCTTATTTCCCATAGTCAAAAATATACTTCAGACTTAGGTCAAGGTCATTTGTAGTAATCCCCTGTGAAGAGTTAAGAGATATCTATTACCAAAATCTTTTCTTCGTGCTAAAGTCATATGTCAAGGTCATGATGTACGTTACTTGCTATCTCAGAGAACACACTAAAACACCAGGACTGAAACATTATCATCAGTACTGTGCACCATACGTCCTCAGTGAATTTACTGAACAAAGTCAAACAAAATCATCAGTCACTCTTGTTTCTGAAAAGAACTTGAGAATTTGTTATGTAGTAAGTTACCAACAACTCATGAATATTAATTTTATTGGAAATGAGACTCTGCTTTTCATTTGGACTTTACATCTTCAAATAATGCACTATGTGCTTTTTACATAAAAACAGAATTATTCTGCATTGTCATTACATAGAGGTTAAGTGAGTATTCTAATTTTTTTTCACTTAAAGAGTGAACTTACTGATGAATTCCTAAACCTTTTTTACATTCCAAAAAGAGTTTACAAGTTATTACAAGTAAAATTCATTAGTAATTGTAAAAGAAAGAAAAAACCTTCAATAAATATTATCAGTACTTCCAAAAGCTAATTATGAATTCTTTAAAATAGCAGATAAGCGAAAGAGACTGCCAATCAGAACAAAAGGCCTGTCTGGCCTCCCGTTTGTCTCCTCTTTGAACATAATCACTGTTTCAAATAGATTTTATCAGCTTCATGGAACTTCAAAGCCCTCAGAAGGAAAATATGATTTCATGAAACCTCCCTCTCTAAAAAGAAAATACGTAGAATATTCTTCAAGACTACCTGCCTCTGTTGTTTTATGAATTTTTAATCATATGTCCAGGTGAAAGACTATTTTCAACTCCACCTACTACCTTGGACTCCTGCCAAGTAAGTTATAAGCAGACGCATTTATCTCTGTCGCTTGGAAGGCTAAACAAGAGCTGTCACGTTGGGGTAATAGCACCTTTTTACCTTTTATTCAATAGTGATATGGATAGTGGACTTTCCTTAAATTACACTGTGAAGAATTATAGGAACACAGTAGCAATTTCTGTTATACTTAAGCAGGCAAATTTCTCTCCACCACATAATTTACAGAACTCAAATTCAATAAAACATTACATGATGGTCCATTACTGTTATCAGTTTTGAATAATCCATCTTCATTCTTTATTTTACTGGAAAATAAAGTGTGCCAAAGACAAGGGGCGGGGGGGAGAAAAAAGGGAAAAAAGTCACAGAATGGGATCAGAGTTAAACTCTGGGTTTTATTTTTTTTAAAAAAAGGCACTAACGAATATATTTGCTTCTATCACAATCCTTAAATTGCAATAATACAGAGAAGTGAACTGAAAAGTATATATCTAGAAGCTTTGGCAATTATTTTTAGCCATAGGTTTCCATTAAAAAGACATCAAGTAGGCATAACTGAATGAATGACATATGCTAAAAGCTGGTATCTTCAGTAGCAATTAAAGAACATATGCCCATCAATTCAGAAGGGGAAAAAGTCCTTAGAACAAGTAATTATATAAATTTCACCATAAATTTTCAGAAAAGGTAAACTTTTTTTTTCCTTTTTAATAGTCAAGTGTGAAAGTCTTAAGAGAGGGGTTTTATTAGGAGACCCAATTAGGATGATGAGAAAATTCTTCTGTTAAGACTTAAAACATGAAATCCAGGATTTTAAAGTTGCACAGAGCTGTCAATGACTAAAATGGTCTCAATTCATGATAGTATTATCTATTATATTAATGTTTTAACATACTGTTTATAGGGTACCAGTTTCTTTATCTGATCATATCATAACTTTGCATTTGCATGTACATATTTTACATTATTTTTTAAAACTTGGATTTGGAATTGCACATTGTAATAAGTGCACACAAACGTGTGATGTGCGATTTAACTGCAGAGCTCCTTGTCTATACATATGCATTAGCATGTGTATTTTCGTACTCCACACTTACACCATACACTCTCACTCTGCACCTGCTTTTATTGAAATGCATACACTTTGAAATAAACACACTACATGCATTCATATGAATGTATAATCATTAAAATAAATGCAGCTGTGTGTGTGCACGCGCGTGTGGTTTTTAAGTATGACCACCAAAAACACATGTATGCTTGCATGTTCAAAAGCTCGTTCCCAAAAAGTGAACACTTAAATATACATAGACAATTATGCTAATTTAAGTCAAACAGCTTCAAATATGGCCAATATCCACTTCAACTGAGGATACCAATTACTAATATAAAGGTCTAAAACCAAATCCCTCTATCACCCTGGGCTCCAAATAATTTTTATGGTAGTAACTTTCTTCTAAATTAACTATTTTAAATAAAGAGAGCTCGATACCAAAGCTGTCACTGTTTCATTCCCCTACCACACTCACAAAAATTTAAGTCACTGTTTTTGATGTTAACCACAGAGATAACTATCTTTTCAAAGAGATTAATATGACATAAAAAGAGAGCAAATTCTAAATCTGCCTTCTTCCCAGCAACAAATCCTAGAGATATCCATGGAATCAGTCACTGTGAGAACCAGATGCAGAACAAGTGGTCAGCTCTTCAGAGTAATGGTGTGACATCACAACCCAAGAGAAGAAAAACGGTACCGATGGATAGTAACTTCACACATCCCTCAGCTAACCTCTCTAGTCATTCTTCACCATATAAAATACATTCCTTAGTGCTTTAAGAAATAACACATTGCTCAATTTTTAAAACACTTATCAGTAAATCTATATTTCATTTGTGTTCATGTCAATGTTGGCTTTGTGGGTTTTCAATTAAATTGACAAGCATTTTACTGATCTTTTTTGTAGAGACCTATTTTTTCCCAGTATCGAGAAATACTAGAAGTCACTGCTATTTCCAAAAATAAAGAATGCTGCTAGAAACAGGATTATCTAGAAGTTCACTCTTGATTCATTCATTCATTCATTTAATTTTTTAAATAATTACTTCCCACTGAATATGGTATCACGAAATTTACCGGCTAATAATGAACACATTTTTTAAGTTGTAAAAATAGAGAAATAAGTAAAATCATACAATTTTAACCTGAGACATAACCTTCTGCAACTCCCCTTTAAAAAAGACAAATGATGCACAAAAAATACAGATAAAGAAAGTGAAAACAAACACTGATTTAGTTAAAGGCTTTGTCGGGCTTCCTAACTTCAATCCAGTTAAAGCAAGCCAAAAATAAGTCACTGCTGGGATTCTCCTAGATATGGAAACTCTGCCAATAAGGAATTAATACTAGATTATTTTTGTACCAGAATCTCATTGTTATAATCATGTAATAAACAAAATAACTTAAATATGAAAGGAAAGTATGAGTCAGGCCAAAAAACAAATTGACAAAAGAACAGTGGTAAAACAAGAAACTTGAAAGGACATAATGTCCTCATTTCTAATCAAAGTTACATGTTCTCTTGGTTTTTTTAGTGTGCCTGGGCCAAAAATAAAAACCATATGAACCATACTAATTTCCAAAAAAAGAAATTTAAAAAAAATCCTCTCATTCACAATTTAATAGAATGGATTTGTTTCAGACTTTTCATCTTAAGGCCTTCCCATATCTTACTACCACTCTTTCTCCAGGTCCCTCTAAACATCTTCCCTGCTGATAATATCTTCACAGGTATTTGCCCAGGAGGATAAAGGTGTGAACTTGGGAGTATGTAGATCTCAGGGAGAAGTCTGCAAACTAAGGCCTGCAGGCCAAAGCTACCCCTGGGCCTGTTTTTTGTAAATAGTTTTCCTGAAACACTAGGACACTTATATCCATTCACCTATTGTCCATGGCTGCCTAACACCCGACACTGTGACACAGCTCTCATGGCCCTCAAAGCCTAAAATGTTTGCTATCTGGGCAATTACAGAAAATATCTGGTGGTTTCTGATCTAAAGAATGAAGTTTGGAGGAACATTAATAATAATGTAAAGAGGGGAGGAGATAAAGCTAAGAAACATTTCAGGTTAATAGGCCCTATGTATACATATCTGTATAACCCCCTCCCCAATGGCTGTTCAAATTAAAGGGTAGAAATTGCTATTTATAGAGTACCACAATGTTTTTTGGGGTTTCCGCCCTCAAAAGTTGTAGAGGAACATAAACAAGGGATGTTAACATATTTATGTCGGATATGGGGGTAACAGGAAAGATAGTGGGCTAGAAGCTCAGAGTCCTACCAATGACCCTGACCAAGTCATGAAATGCTTCTCAATCTGCTTCTACTACCAGCCTATGATTTCACTATGTAAAAGCATAGGTAATGACCATTTGAAATACATTTGACAATGAATTTATCCTCTCAAGGCCCTTAAGTCGTTGGTCTGTATCTTTCTTGGTAAAGGAGGTTTATGAGAGGGAAAGGAGTGATGAAACTTAGGCACCACTAAGAACAAGACAGTGTGACCACACGACAAGAAGGATTAAATGTTAACACAAAGTAAAAGAATCAGCATTAATAAAGGACTAAAGAGAGAAGGGAGAAAAAGAAAAGAGAGAACCATTACTAACAAAACAAAACTGACCTGAGTTCTGTTAAAAGCCACACGTGCAAATACTGCCTGGGAGATTCCTGCTCGTTTCAGTTCATCACGTACCCACTGGTAGATTTCGGAAGACACCTCTGTGTTGGTTGAAACCTGTTGCTCCAAAGGCTTATTCATAGATCTACTGACAGGGGGAGGGTGGTTCAAGTATTGTTGGTTTAAGGACTGCTGGGCTAAAAGTCTATTCACTGCATACTGCTGGTTCAGCAGCTGAGCCATCACCAGCTGCTGGTTGACCAATTGAGGACTGATGGGCGTTGACACGAGCCCAGGGTGCAGGTTCGGTAGAGGGGTCCGGACAGAGGGCTGGCTGCCATGGGAGAGCTGTGCGGGGGACGGAGGCTGCTCAGCTGTGTTCCCTGGGACCGGCTGCTGGCCAAAGTTGACGTGATTGGCACCTTGCTGGGATAGTTCAGAGAGACTATCCATTTCAACTAAAGCAGACAAAAGGAAAGTCATGTTAACAGTGATGGGTACGCGGATAAGGATTTCTGACCATTTCCTAAACAGAGACAGTAGACACATTAAAGATCCAATTAAACTAAGAAAATTTCAAGATGGAACTCAACGGCTATGTTTTTACTTCCCTCTTCCGCACAATTCTACAAACTCTGAAAAGGGGACTGTCAGGTACTTCATGTCTAGTTAAATAATGCAGTTAGGCTTAAGGCATAAAATTAATATTTTTAAATTCTAATTCTCCAAGAAGGCTTATAAGCAATGGTTATTTTAAATTAAGATAGCTTCTAGAAGAACACTGATTATTTAATAAGAACTAGAGCTAAGAAAATATATACATTAAGGCAAAAAGAAATATACGTGTATTTTTCCATGATATATATTAACTGTTATTACTCGAGGCAAAAGGTTTGAAAGGGAAAAGAGGACATAAATGTTATCTATGTTCAATTTTTACCTAGCCATGAATATATAAAGAAATAATCAATATAATAAATAAAGTGATCATAATGATAAGTAATAATAACTGAGTACATATTGAACACTGGGTTGAATATCTTATATGGCTTGCTTCATTTAATTCTAACTATCATGGGTGGCAGGTATATCTGCAAGAGAATGAAGCAAATGATTTACTGTATTGCAAGCCAGTATACCCAGTTTTGCTAAGATCCAAATGTCTCTTGAAGAAGCTATGGCTATCACCAGATGCTAAAGACAATCTTTCAAGGAAGGGGCGGGGAGTCATCCTGGTACAATGGTGATACTGTCATGATTTTGCAATTTATTACCACCTACCAGGATGAATGCTTCTCCCTTGGCTAGGTCCCTAATGTGGATTGGCTGAGAGTCAGCTGTAAGTGTGTCAAGTGCTTTGCTGCCGCAAGGAAGAGACTGGTTTGATGCTCTTAAATGGAAAGGCCGAGCATGGGTGGTGTATGTAAACAGGTTGAGTCTTCTCCAAATAGCACACCATATTTCTCATGTATACTCTGGCTTGATTTTAATCATCATTTCTCTTTTTATTAAATATTCAGGCTTTATATTTAGAGGAACTTATCACATTGCTATAATCACTGATATATGCAAAATATAACTAAGAATTGGGAAAGAAACCTTCCATTTTTACCAGTGATATCAGCCCAAGTGGGCCATTCACAGGGAATAGTAATTCAAGCAATTATTCCAAAAATGATGCATTGTCTTCATTACAGCTCTAAGCTATAAAAGGCAAAGAATCTGTTTTGGTAGATGGATGGCTTTGCTTCAAATATTAAAAGCTAAAACATGCTCAAAATTCAGGTTCTCTTGTTTCTTAAAATCTTTAGGAGAAGTCATTATTGTTGTTGTTGTTGTTATTAAATGGATGCAATGGAAGGAAAGAGAAACAGATTTAAAACAGGGCACAATGCTATGCATAGTAACATCCCATTCCTATATTATTGGGAAGGTACAAGTATGTGAAAGAAAACATTAATAGAAATTAAAACATTAACCTTGATAACAGTGTTTGGTTTTGTAACACTAGCAAACTCAAGAGGGAGAAAACGTCATAACCTCAATGCTCGGGCACAACACACAACTTTTATCTGCCGTTTTTGTTACACTAATTTTTAATGCATTTACTGCATAATGCATAGTGACCTGAAGTTACATGTGAAGATGGGCAGCCATTCTAGAATTTAAAGTTGAAAAATGGTGTAATGAGGATTCCGGTATGGATGGTAAAGCAGTGTGCTCACTGAAGTGCCTATCTAGAGGGGCAAGCGATGAGACCTATAAAAATCACTTGATCTCAAAAAAAAAAAAAAAAAAAAAAAAATCACTTGATCTCAATTGTGGAAACTATAAATACAATTCAATTTCCTTAAAAATTGGGTGTAAAAATAGGCACTTTCTCTCAAACAAAAACAAAACATAAAAGCATGATTTATCTCTGAGAGAAATCACAGCTAATATTAGTTATTCAAGGCCTGGTTAGGTCTTCACTGAGATGTTAAAAAATGACAGCTTCCCTCCTCCCGCCTCGATTTCCTGCATGTCTGACAACCAAGTCAGTTTGGCTGATTTAAACACAAACATTTATTGAATTTAATTATCTCATTATACTCATACCCACTCCCCACCCTCAAAGAAACATTCTAAATTGATCTCTAATTGGGCAATCACAAGACCTGGCTTTAGATGTGACTTTGATAAGCCCCCAAATGACACATAATAGTATGTAGCCACCACTGCAACAGTTTTTTGCTTACCCATCATATCTTTTGTCTTCTTGAAATGTTTGTACCACCTTCCAAATTCTTGACATTTTGCTGCTGAGACATTTGCATAGTAAGTGCTGTTCACAATGGAAGAAATCATACTCTGCATGAAGAGGGGGGGAAACATTTGTAATACATATCGGCACAAGATGGAACACAAAAATGATTCCAATTGTATAAATGGTATATTTTTTTTTAATTAACTGAGTACCAGTACATTTCTGTTTTGCACTTTGGCCTAAAGCCTCAACTTCTTAAAATTCATTAAGTAGTGCCTCAAATGCTTATTTATGTACAAAGCAAGAGTCCACTGAGACCAGTATAAAACTATCAAACCAACAGACTTTGCTCTAGTATTTATGGAACTTCTATCAATGTCATCTATTCTTAGGCTGACAAACCTTCACTGATCCCAATAACTCCAAGGACGTGACGATGACTTTATGATTGAATTCATCAACACTACTTTGAAATTAAGTGACTGTAATCCACACCCTTGCTATTCAAAGTATGGCCCAGAGACCACCAATTTTGACATCACCTGGAAGTCTAGTAGAAATGCATAATTTGGGGGTGCCTGGGTGCCTTAGTTGGATAAGTGTCTACCTTCAGTTAAGGTCATGATCTCAGGGTCCTGGGATGGAGCCCTGCATCAGGGTCCCTGCTCAGCAGGAGGGTTGCTTCTCCCTCTCCCTCTGCCCCCACTCCACCGTGCTAAATAAAGTCTTTAAAAAAAAAAAAAAAAGGAATGATAATTTTGGGCCCTACAGTTTAGCAAGATCCCCATGGGATCTGAGTGCACATAAAGTTTGGGAAACACCATTTGTACTTTCTACTCCAATTAGCACTCTTCAAAGGTTAACTGACCACATTTAAGGAAAAAAAAAAAAAACTATTCACAGAGATCCTCATTCAGAGGATATAGAAACATTCTATAATCTTACCGCTAGCTTCAAGTACAGTAAAGCCAAGTTCTGCATTTCAAACTAACCATAAAATTTAAAAATATACACATTTCATGCTTAATAATTCTCAAAGATACCACAGAAAAGAAAATGACCTATTTTGTCATTTGTCTTCACTCCGCTTTTAACAAAAACCCTGAAAACAAAGTCAACAGTTTAACATATAAAAACAAAGGCAGGAATGAGAATAATTTGGGAGTTCTTTTTTTTTAATTTTTAACTTCTTTTCAACAAACAAAAATGTTTTCTTCCCAGCAAATTTTGTTTATGGTAATTTCAGTAACTTAACTCATTGTTATTTTTAATCCTAATGCCCATTGACCTAGTAGCGGTTCAACTAATTTCCAACTGCATTTTAGGAATAATTAGACTTGCACCACCCACCCGCCCCCCACTCATCTGTGTAGAAACGTGAGAACTCACATTTCAGACTTCAGTTGGTCTATGGTGAAATAGTTTACAGAATGCAGCATTGTTTGGGAGGCGGGGAACAACCAGAAAAGCCAGTTTGGGGACAAAAGTATTTTTGTATCATTATCTTCTTTAAGCTACTTCTAATTTAAAGTTCTTTTGGTTATTTTTGATTCTTCTGACATCCAATATCAGTGTTAATTTTGTAACATGAACGTATTCCTGTAATATGTAACTCTTGGGGATCTTTGAAGAATTTCCAGTGAAGGATAAGCCAGAGTCATATTATTTACGTAAAACATAGCCATCTTTCCTATGAGGCACTGGGATTTTTTTTTTTTTTGGACACTTTCTATTTTATAGTCATTTTCACATTTTATATCTCTAAAAAGACATTCTTAACGTGCTCACGGTTCTCTGCCATTAATCCAGTGGCCTGCAATTTTACTAAGAGCCTCCCTCAGTCCAGAGTACAAAAAGATACTTAGCAAGGGTTGCCAAAACCAGAGCCAGAAGATTACCTGATCCAGTTAACAATCCGTCAGCTTCAATCACACTTACTCTATTGTAACAATGGATCAATAAAGTCAGACACTAATAAAACTACTGAGATTGCTGATGGATAATGGTGATTCTGCAAATGGATGACAGTTGATGTTCTTCCATTTTGATCCAATTTTTAAAAAATTATTACTCTTATTCCTAGACATTCTGGCAGTTTCTTAAATGTCAATATAATAGTACAGACAAGTTTTAGATGTAGTTTAGCTCTTAGTTTTCAAAAATGTACAGGAATTACCTAAATTCTGCTGAGGTTTCTGACAGACATTGTCTGTTTCAGTTCGCCAATAGTTCTGTATATGAAATTTGCTCTTTGCCGCACACCTACTATGTGTCCGACTGGTACTAGGGATACAAAGGCAGATTGAGACACAGCCCCTGCTTGTAAGAAGTCTACCATCTGTTAGGGAGACAGATACATCAACAGATCACTTCAATTTAATGTGATTTAGGAGACCAACAGTGGAAAATACATAGGGGGACAAAAGGAAGAATACGTGGTATGTGTAAAATCAACCCATCTGAAATATTTTTATGACTTTGGAGCCCATATGTAATAGTGCTATGTGGTTCATTATTATCCATATGTGGAAAATAATACCCATATGTGCCCGATTATCAAAGCTTCCTCCTACCCTTGTTTAACCCTAACTTGGAAGGCTCTGTCCTTAAGTGACTTTCTGGATGCTTTCTACTCTGTCAAGTGCTGTGTGCTTAAGAAACTCTGATTAATGTAAATATTAGCCCAAGCAAGACGTAAATCAAAAGGCTAATCCACCGGTTATGACACATGCCAAAGCCACTATTTAAATTCTCTGACTTTCTGTACTTCCAGGGGACTGGGAAATAGTCCATAATTCAGGTAACATGGGGTAACCTCTATTTTTATTGGAACAATATGCAGTAAACTGTACAACTAACCTACTCAAGTGGCCACTGCATGAGGACTTTTTTTTTTTTTTTCCTAGTAGTAAAGTCCCTATTGGAGACTCAGGTGTGGCATCTGCCTACCTTGTGAGTTTCAAGGGCAAGAAAGAGAAATTTCAGAAAGTTGAGAGGCACATGCCATATGAAAGATCATATTCGGTACTGGTTCTTAAATTTGGAAAATCATAAAGAAACACCTATTATTTGGATAACACAAATAACAAAATCAAGGGGGGGTACTATTTTTCCCAGAGGATGGGGACAGGCAGTGTGGTAGGCAGACCAAGATCCATGTTTGTAGAAAGAGATGCTTGGGATTCTTATGTCAATCAAAAAAGACTCTGGTTCAAACAGATCACACTAAGTTGTGAGTTTATGCAGCTCTAGGGCTCCATATTCTTTTCCAGCCCAAATGTCTAGCATCTACTAAACACACACTAAATATTCATTTGATGAAAGAGGAGAGCTAAATCTGCATTTAAGTCCAAAATGTGTAGCACACTGGCAGTGTGACCTTATTCAAGGTACTGACCCTCATTTTATCATAATCCCCTTTATTAAATGGGAGTCATAGCAGCACTCACTTCATACGGTTGTTCTGAGAATCCTTTCCATTTTAGGCATTTTTTTTTTCATTCATTCAGTAGATATCTACTGAACTCCTACTATGTACTAAGCACTAGGCAAGTTATTAGAAAAATAATGACCTGAAGAGAGAAGCTATCTACACTTACACAGACAATAAATAAAACAGTGAATGTTATGCAATTAGCACAGAGCTGGGAACATACCCGAGTATGGACTTAGGAGATGTTAATTACTATGACAACCCTCTGTCCTCCTCCTCACTGGCTTTTATTATATGATCACATTTCAGATCAGTCGAAAGACTATGCTTTAAATAACAGAAGAGTATCAGAGAGACTTTTCAAATGATACATTTTAAGTCAAATACATTTTCTTATGAAGAACAGAGAATATACTAACTAAATTTATTAAGTTATAAGTTGGGTCAAGGGACAATGAGAAAACACCAAAGAAAAAAAGGATTCCCCCCATTTGTTTCAATATTCCAATCTGGCACCATCTTGTGAGGCTGGCCTACAATCTGGTAGCAGGCCTCAGGAAGACAAACACCACTTCTCTGACTTGGATTTTCGAGCCATGCCCTATCCCCTCTCTGGCTAATAGCAGCTCATCCTTCAGGACAGAGCTAAGGGATCCCCACTTCTGCAAAGCCTTTCTTGATTTGCCTTGGTGTCCATCCAGCACGTAACACCTTCCCAGCACTTTTCTTGCTGCTGTGAGTCTTGGGGCTTATCCCTGAAAGGCCTGGACTCACCACAAGGCTGGGCACGTATTAGGTGATCAATCAAAGGTTTAAAGGTCACTGAAATTAGCCATTACTGCAGGCTACCAGAAAATCCTTTTTTTTTTTTTTTGTCCCTAAAGGTGAAAGGCAATGGCAGCTTGTCCCATAAATCTTTTAAATGCATCACTTTTCGCTGTCGTGATAGAACTCATAGTTTAAAGAAACTTTGTTCATTAATTTGCAAGAGATCCCTTCCCAGGTTTTTCAAAATACATCCACACAGATGTCTCGGAAGTCGCAGTGCTCGGTGGTTATGTTATTCCAGTTCTCTCTCTCTCTCTCTTGGTGTCTATTTATACGAGCTCCCCAAAGCACTTTGAAAAAAGCACAACTTGTCTCCCAAGGTTTCCTATTCAGTGGCCGGTCTACGTAAAATGTCAGCATCAAGGGAAGGAAATAATCAGGCTGACAAACTCAGTCCGCTCAAATCCCAGGTTCAAATGCTACACAGTACACCAACCAATGAATAGGCCCACCGCTTCCAGGGTTGGGAAACGCAATCTGAAAGTTGGCGGAAATTGGCTGTGGGTCTCATAACCCCAGTGTGACACAATATTCTCATCCTAGGAGCCAAGTTGTAAGCTTTTCTAAGATCCATAAAGCACATGTCTGCTCCCTATGAAGAGCTTCGGTTCTTTCTGAGAGCCTGCTGAAGTTCGGATCTGAAAGAATGCCATCTTCACAGAAACACCAGTACTCTAGAATGATACCATCTGCCACAGGCTGAGCTTCCTTTTCAGCCAAATACATTATTTATAACCTTTCTAATTGTGAAAAGGTAAGGGTGGAATTTTTCTAAAGCCTGACTTAGATATAGTTAGAACATTCTGAACCTTTGCTCTCAAATACTGCAGGTCTCCAAATGTG